CTATTGAGACTAAAATTAATCTAAAATTATTTCATCCTTAATCGAGAGTTCTCTCTTACGTAATAAGAGGGATAATTAACTATGAGTGCTTGCGCTCATAGGAAGTAAGAACCCCAGATCTTTAAACCCTGATACTATCCTCAGGGGAAATCTGGTTAATTTCAATTTGACTTAAAGGAAATGGAATCCTACAGCTGCAAAGTGGGATTCACGCACTCGTGCCATTTTTCTTGAGCCAACAGTTTCAGGTGATCCTTTTTCAATTTGTTAATAGAAACTGTAATAAGTTAGCTCATTGGTGTGCTAACCATGCTTTAAGAAGTAATTTTCTTTGGGATGTTCTAGAAATAAATAAGGTACCTCCTACCTTTTATTCTTTGTTAAAGGAGGAAAGTGATAAATCTTCTATCACTTAGTCTTTTGTACTCTTTTTTTTCCTTTTGATGCATTATGCAGTTCTTAAAAAAATTTTAAAAATTTAAATTTTTTTTACTAAAAAAGGGCTTTAAAAAGCAATAAGAAAATTGTCTCAAATAAAATCTTAATCACTAAAAACATCAGCCTCCATATGAACTTTTAGGAGAATGGATATATGAGATCCATCCTATATTAAGGAAGTGTTATTAAATTTAAATGAGAATCTAACTCTTAATAAGACAAGATCTATTTCCTTAAAAAAAAAAGATCTTATCTTGGAGATTTGTAATGCTTACTCTTAAACTATAGAGAAAAGAGATTCATGCCATCAACCCCACTAGATGATAAAGGCTTGTTTTTTTTGTTGTAGAACTAAATTTTGCTTATTAATCAGCTCACTGATTTCTATCAAGCTCAATCGAAGCCAAAGCCAAACTTTACAGCAATCTTTGATCTTCAAATCAAATTCACAATCACTCTTTGCAGAAGTTAGAACTCAACTTTCCAACCAACAGAATAAACCATTTCTATAATCAGTAGATGTAATGCCATAAAAAAAACCCTCAACTTAATAATACAAATCAAGCTTCATAATTTCAGTAGAAGATATGCGTACAATATCGCATCTGCTGCAAAATCTGACAATTCAGCTTCTGAGAGTGATGGAATAGATCATACAGTAAGTTAAGCAATCACATTAAGCAAAGCATTCAGTACAGCTTCTCTGGTTGGAAGAGCAGGAATGGCTCCCCTCTCTGTGACTGTAAGAGCTCCACATGCATTTGCAAATTTAAGAGCTTCTCTCAGTCGATCCTCATCCTGCACACATTAAAACAAAGAGTAAATCCAGCAAGAATCTGTGATACACTATAAAGCATATACATATTTCGGCAGTCTAGGTTCAATCTTAGATTTTGTTTGGGACAGTTTTTTTTATGTTTTCTAAAACGGCTTTCTATTACAAAAACTTTTAATTCATAAAATTTTTATACTAAAAAGTTGTTTTAGAAAGTAGTAAAAAAGAAGTCTCAAACAAAACCTTAAACTCATTCGATTTTAGCTAATGTCGTAGAGGATTTTCGGGGTAGACGCAAGCAGGGCAGACACAAAATTGCCATGCAAATAGGATGATAGCCTCCTATTATAATTTAGATAAACTTAAAAATAAATTATTAGAAAAATATAAGCAGATATGCAAGAAATCTTCATGGCAATTATTCACACTTGCATCAGGTTTTCATGTAAACCAAATTTAGAATGTTGGCAGCCAGATTCTTCTAATATCTGCCCTTTATAACCCGCCAGGTCCAAATGGAACTTATTGTCTGCCAGTAACATCTGCGATCCCTCTCCTCGTTCTCCGCCATCCCTTAATGGAGAGAGATTATTCTGTGCGGACACCGGACCATCCGGAGACGAATTAGTGCATACCACATCATCCGGTACATATCCGCATTACACAATAAAAGGGTGACGTGGCGCGCTCTAATTTGACTCCGTACATCCGGTGTCCGCACAGAATAATTTTTCCTATATGGAAGGGATCCATCTAATTCCTGCCAGTTGCTGTCCAACCTGCTCTAAATGGAAGGGGGAATAATTGCATACAAAACCATGTATGCATTAATGTTGATTTTTCCTGGTTGAGTGTTGTAATGTTCTGATAGTTCATCTTGTTGTAGTAAATCTAGATAATACCACTTTATTTCTATCCTAAGAATATGTATTTTTACTAAATTTTCCTTAAGAATATTGGAGTTAAGTTGTATTAAAAGTTCCAGCATTCGGCTGGATTAAAGTAGAAGAATGAAATAATAGTTTCCTAATTTCCTTTCATCTCTACCTTTCTATCTTCTAACAATCTACTCAAATAAAAAACTAAATGTTTATTTCTTAATCAACTAAGCAAATATCTCAAGTCATTTATGAAACCTGTACAGACAAAGAGAAAAAAAATATAAGCCAACTCAAAAAGCTCTTTGTTAAGTCACTGCCCTCTCAGTAACCCATTGTCTGATTGCTTTTCGCTCACCTACTCGCTCACTCATTGTTGTTCCCACATCAATACGTGCATATCCCTCACGGACGTACTCAATTGTTGCTTTTCCCAAATTAATTCAATCAGCTGTTTTTTGCTGTTTGGAGGCCAGATTCGCGTCAAACTTGTTGCTCTTTGCTATTGGAGCATAAATTCAGGTTCCCATTGTAGGAAGGAAGATAGAATTGTTGGAAGGGGAGATCTGACAATTAAAAACTGTAATTTCAGATCTCCATGCTCAACTTTCAGAAGTCAAAATTCAATTTCAGCCCTCCAAGAAAAGATAGATGAGAATTTTTTCGGCCTGGGGGAGATGTTGAAGAAGTTGCTCGAGGGCCAATTCAAAACGACATCATCAATGGCGAGGGAAGCCTCTGGCAACCCAGGAAGCGGGGAAAACTCTAATCCAATAAGGCAAAGAGAAGATCAGGAAATGGAGACTCAAAAGAGAGAAGAGAGAATACCTCTCCTAGAACCTATTCCTAGGGAAGAGCTAGGTAGAGGGTATGAATAGAGACATGAGGAGGTAGGGAAAGAACGAAGATGTGATTATTTGGAGAGGAGAGGAGCGAGATTTGAAAGGCAAAGGGATAATTATGATCAAAGGGGGCTGAATTTGAAAGATGAAGGGTTTGTTATGATCCAAGGGGGGGCTGAATTTGAAAGGTGAATGTGTGAATTTGATTAAAGGTTTGAGTATGAATGTAGAAGAGATGATTGGGGCACTTGGGGGGAACCACCCGCTTGGGTAAGGAGAAATTATGAAGGGAACATAGGGAACATAGGCGATTTGAGGGTGAAGAAGTTGAAGATGTGTACTTTTGAGGGAGAGGATATCCATGAGTGGATCTACAAAGTGGAAATGTACTTTATCATCAACAGGTTGACGGAGGGGGAGAGACTAATGAAAACTGGGATGTGCTTGGAAGGGAAAGCTTTAGCATGGTACCAGAGGAGGGATACGAGACGATTGATAAGGACCTGGAGGGAGTTTAAGGACTGCCAGTTGGAACATTTTCAAACCAGCAAGGGAGGGGACTTCTATGAGCAGTTCTTCGCTTTGATATAGGAGGGGGCAGTGGTGAAGTACCGTGAGCAATTCGAGTGCCTTGCCAGTAGGTTGGATCAGCTTCCAAAGATTGTACTGGAGGGGAACTTTATGAAGGGACTGAAACCAAAGATTCACGCAGCGATTAAAGTGATGAGGCCTCGTGACTTGGGAGAGGCTATGGAGCTAACTCAGTAGGTGGAGGATCAGAGGCACCTAGAGAGAGAAACAAGAGGCAGCAGCTCGGGAGGCTCATATAAGATTACCACCATCTTTTTGGCACCCAAGGAGCCAGCATTGGATACTCTCAGGAAGACTTTGAAGGAGAAGACTAGAGGAAGACCTGGGGATAACTTCAAAAAGCACACATAGCAGTTATTTTGGCATCATAGAAACTAGATAGACAACGTAGAATTTTATTAACTTTTCAGAATTGATAAGTTCTCTACCTAATGCAGGCAAGGAAGTGATAATTTGGGTGAACCTAATATACATTTCAGAAATAGATTCATTAGGTTTCATGTGAAATAATTCATAATCATGGAGTAGAATGTTCAAGCTAGATTAGTCCACTTTATTTGTTCCTTCATAGGTTATGCAAAGTTTATCCAAATTTTTTTTCAGTTGTGCAAGTAGATACAAGCATATAATATTCATATTTTAATGCACAAAAAAGTCATTTAAATATTTTGCATTTAATTGAGTTAAATCTCTATCCTCTATGCTTTATTTAGAAAAAGGTAGTTCAACTTTAATACCATTTATAAATTGAGAAGATGTGGAATATCCTTACTGAACTAACATCCATATACAATAATCTATAAATTGCAAGAAAGTAAACATGCGAATTTTTCAAAAATAAAAAAGAATGTTATCAAATAAAAATGGTCGAGTAATTAAATACCCTTTCACAGTATTACGATTACCAAAGTTAGCCATTAATTGTTTTAAAAAAAAATTTAAAACTTAGTTTTTGAATCCTGTTTTGATACCACTTGAAAGTTCGTGAAGGTTGTTAAACCTCAAAGAACCATCTCGAGGCTAACCAAGAGGGGGTGAATTGGTTATTTTAAAAAAGTTAAACAAAATAAAAATCTTTTGTAGACTTTTTAATATATGAAAATAACACCTAAATCCCCTAATGCGGAAGCAGATTAATTTCACAATAACAAAAATCAGAGTTTGTTAAACACACAGTAAATCACAGAAAAATAAAAGTGCAGAATAATAAGAAAAAAAGAAAAAAAAAACTTATAACCTGACCTATGTCCACTCCCTAGAAACCTCCTTTCTAGGTATTGCACAAAAGTAGTGTCTCTTCTTTTGCCCCCACAGTAAGGTGGATAAGCTCTTACAAAATCTTTTCATCAACCCAGTGAAGATAGAGAACATGAAATCCTTTTTTCACCCTCCTGGTGAAAGCAAACAACTTAGAATCCTTTTTCACCCTCCTGGTGATGGAAAAGAACCAAGAATCCTTTTTCTCCCTCTTGGAGATGACAGAGAACCAAGACTTAGTGCTATAAAATGTCTCCCCGGAGCCACCAAAAGAATTAAGGCAAAAGCTTGAAGAAGACAGGGAAGAACCTTGCTTGGAGTAACCTTGTGAATCCCTCACAACTCTCCCTCATAACCAACTCTCCCTCTCTTCTCTCCCAAATCACTCCTTAACCCCCTCTCTATGCTCTCTAAAGACACTTAGCAACAGAAGTCTTCGAAGCAAGTCTCAGTAAGAGTTTAACTAGAGAGCCTCTCAAAAAGTACTTAATTTTAATCCGTCGAGACTCTGGTCGTCTAGTACGATCCAAGATCATCATGTACGATTAGTTCAAAGTACTCCTATTAGTACTATACAAGGAGACAAACCCTATACAATAAGTTCAAAGAGATGAACTAATCGTTCTGGATGATGGAGAACATCATCCAATATGATTAGAACAAAACAACATTTTTAAACAATACGAAATGTATTGCTTTTACGATCGATTCAAGAGTTTGTACTGATCATCCAGTACGATAGGCGACGATTTAATTATCGTCCGATGCAGAGCTCGGTTCGTACAGTAAATTGGGGGTCCTTCCTGTATGATTAGTTGTAAAACTATGGTATTTCGTCTAGGATGATAGGTGACAATTTAATTATCATCCCATGAATTGCTCGGGTTGGACAGTACGATCATCACTAATCGTCCTATATAACTTGATTGAATAAATTACCATAATTGTTTTTATAATCACAGGATCAATTTATGCATGATTGTCATATATCGTACAGTACGATGCATATCATTTATTAGACATAGATTTTGAATTTTAAAATATTATATAAATTGTGATTGACGGCTATTTTATTAATTATATGTGATCGTCTTGTACGATAGGGATCGTACAGTACGATGAATTTAATCAATTTTACTTATCACAGGTCCCCTAATTAGGGTTTTTTGGATAGCTAATCATCCAGTACGATATAAATCATATGGTACGATTAGTTCAGAAAACACTTATTCCTAACTCACTAACTCATCCCCTTGAGTGTGTGTGTGGAGGTTACTTAGCTTTAGGATCTACCAAAATACAAGATTGACTCAAGAAAAGTAAAAAGTACAAAAAAGATTGAAAATACAAACTTTAATCCTAGTCTACCCAATCTTTAGCTGATTGAGATTGCAGGTGAATTGTGGATCTGAAATGTTAGTGAGCAAACAAAAAATTAGATATGTAATAAATTCA